GTGTGTATGAAGATATTAAAGTTGTTTCTTAAGAAAATGTCACATATGTTGAAGAACTTAGGCCTCTTTTTTCACAGGACTTTAACCAACTGACCGAATGACTTGAAGTTATGACCCTTTTATAAATGGGTTTCTCAGACAGTCAGCTCCACTGGTAATTGTGATGTTAATTTAAATAACCACAGCAATTTACTAAAAAACAAATTCAAAGGACAGTATAACTTCAGTAAAAACCAAGGGCAATCATGAAATCGCAACAACTTTAGTAAAAGAATGAAAGAAATCTCAGTCTCCAGATGGGAGGTGAAATATCTATGTAGATAATATAGCAGTTGTAGCTGAAGTCCATGGTTTTGTAGAAACTACATTGTGATACTAAAACGAGGCTGTCTTTCAGGGGTCAGCGAACTTTCTCTGAAAAGGGCTACATAGTAAAATGTTTTAGGCTTTGTGGGCCATCAGTCTTAGTCACAACTCTACAAACTGCCACTATGGTTTGAAAGCAGCCATAGAAAATATGTGAATGCATGGGCATGGCTGTGTTTCAATAAAACTTTATTTACAAAAATCATGTGGTGGCCTGGATTTGGCCTTCAGGTTGTGGTTGGCTGACCCCTGCTCTAATCAATAAGAAACTACTTTGTTCATATATTACAAGTACGGCAAAAGGGGGAGGGAAGCATATTACAAAAAATATTTAAAGTTAGTGATCAGTTCATTGGGAGGGAAAACACAAGACAGTGTTTTCCAGACCAGGTCATGCATCAGAAGCACCTGGGAAACATTTATAGATTTTCAAGGTCCACCTCCAGAGACTGCCATTCGGTAGGTCTAGGCATATTTTTATATTCCCCAGTGAGACCCTTTGATTTAAAAAGTCAAGTGACAGTAATAAAATGCTGTTGGACTAGGAGAAAATGATAGGAAAATGAAATGATATAGATTGACTCTCATAAAATGAAATGTGTGGACCATTTGCTGTAAAATGGGTGCATGCCAGGCAGGGCTCTCCAGAGGCAGTTGAAGGGGCAGGTGAAAGAAGAGCTTTGACAGAGGAGGGGTGGCCATGAGCTCTGGAGTCCCAGGGGGTACCAGGTCCGTTGCTCACACATTCAACTTTCAATCTTGAGTTGCCGCAGAGCCCAGTCCCAGCCCTGGCTTTGCCGTCCACTCTCATGTGACCTCGGACAAGTCCCTTAGCTTCCCTGGGCCAAGGTTTCCTCATCTGGGACCCCTCTCCCAGCAGCACGTGTAGGGTTCCATAAAACACAGACATATCACGGTGGATTCGGAGAAATCCTAACCTTTGTCCTTCTCTTATGAAGTTAAACTAAACAAGTATTTAAGAGTGAGAAAATTATAGACTACGGCATGTTAATGGCCCTTTGGCAGGATTTTCACAGAATCACAAAAACAGGACTAAACTTCTGAAGGACATTTGGTTTAGGTGACGGGGTTTCCGTTTATGAAGGAACTTTCAATAATCACTCGGGAACTTGTCGATTCTACTTTTCCAGACACTTCGCTGGCCTTCTGGGCCACTTTACAGTGCGCCGACGGTTGCAGAGCCAGGCCAGTCACGTGTGAAGAGGGCCTGCAGGCAGGGCCGGGACCGAGCAGGTGAGTCAGGTAACTCCCGTGCACGGGAATCCAAAAGGCGGGCAGGTTTCTGCCCTTCAGAGGGTAACTTTTTCATTTTTAACATAGCAGTCACGTGACTGGAGCCGAGTAAAGTGCTACTTAAGATAGGGAGAGAGGAAGAGATGGGGTGTGATTTTAAGAGCTGGAAGAAGGCTGTACACGTGCAGGACACACACTATGACCACTGTTTTTGTGTTAATTACAGAATTCCTGGAGAGGCCGTGTGCAGTGGTGCTGGGGCCTCCAGAGTCCATGGATGCTAAGAACTCTAGGGCTTAAACCTCTCGGCCTTGCCCCCTTTCCACTCCCCCACTTCATTTTACACATTTATATATTATATGCATTACCACTTCATTATTATTATATACAGTTCCTAATCTCTTGTAGTTAACCCTTAACCAGTGTTTCTATAAGTGCCCGCATGAAGGATTAATGCTTCAGACCAACGCTGGTCGTTCTGTGAATTAGCAATAACCAATTTTCTGGGACTAATGTGAATTCAACCCATGAAATTAAATAACCAAAATGAAAATGAATGTCTGTGTTCCACAAAGAAAATGGAATTTAAGCTCCCTGCTGACCACAGTCAGCTCTGCTGTAGTGTAACATATGTTCCTAAAAATCCCTGCTCTGTGCAAAACTGCACAGTAAAAACCACAGAGCTCATGGGAATGATGGGATGGGGGCACAACACCCGAAAATGTCATTAGTGATACACTGAAAAAAAAAGGAGCCTATTAATACAAACAGTAGCACAGTTTTAAACATACTAAATGGTCAGGAAATATACAAATACCACAATAAATGTGGCACATTATCTTGAAAAAGACCTGGAGGATGCCTGTGGTCCTGGGTAGTGGGCGTCAGAAGGGCTGCAGCTCTTGGGTTGTTGGAAGTGAGGAAGGGAGAGTGATGTGAGGTCAGAGGCACAGTCACAGCTCCAGGTCCTGGCCACTGTGCCCCCCAGCGTGTGGAGCTGAGGTAGATGTTTGAGGGTGTGTCTGGCATGTTCCTACTGGCACAGTTCAGCTGGGTGCTGTCTTCCGTGTTCATCTAATGTTCTGTGAGGACCAACATGCGTGCAGATGTGAAAAGTGCATGACGCTCAAATGATTCCCTCACATCTCAATCGCATTACAACAGTTACACATTTTCAAAACAAGTGCTACAGCTGAACTGTGTTTGCTCACCTGGCACCAGTGACAATGGAACGCTCTAAAAAGCCTTCTAGCCACCAATGGTGTCCCAGTAAAGTTTCAAAAAAATGCTGACACACAGAACTATGGTTGGTAAATTTAAAAAATAAGACTGTGTAACTTTAAAGGGTATTCAGTGAAGAGATTTCTTTTCTCTGTCCATCTTTCAGTACGTTGATTTTGTCATGGAAGTCTCTATCATTTATACTAATAAAATAGTTCACAGGTTGAAGGCAAAGCTCTAGTTCGTGAAAAGACTCAATTTTACTTTTACTTCTTCAGGGATCAGCTAAAGACACTCTTAGTACCGAGTATTTAAACTTTGTTTGCAATAGAGAGACACACAATTGAGAGAGAGGCACAAAGGCTCCACCTTGCGAGTCATCAAAGTGCTTTATTTTGTAAAGCCTGGCTCATGACTGGAGTGTACTGTTAGCACTAGGAGATACAAGGCAAACTTCCTCACTCTGTCCGAAGAGTTGATCAACAGAACGGATGACAGAGACTGTTACAGACAAAAATAAAGCATTTTGTAAACTTCTAGAAGCATACACGGATTGGCCACAAGGGAAACAGTTACTCAAATAATGTATGGGTACCTTCTCTTTACTTCAGGGTCTCGCTTTTGTAATCCTGGATCAAAGAAACTACAGCATAACTTCAGAGCACTGAAAGGGACTCAACGCCAGAATGAATGGTGGGGGGAAAATATGAAATCACCATCTCAGTTAATTTAAACACATAAAATACAGATTTGTACAACAAGGTCACAGTGCTGTTGACATCGTCTGTTGAGGATAACAAATCTCTGTGAAGTCAGTTGCTGCTGGCTTCCCAGGATTCCGGCTGCTGTCGCCTGGTATTTTCTGAAGTAAACCCACATACGTTGGGCACAGTTGCAGACTTGATAAGCCCTGAAGGAAAGTCACTGGCAGAGGCAGTATGGTGCGGGGTATTTGTTGAGCTGTAAGTAATTAGGGGTGGATTTTTTTTTTTCTTTTCTGAACCTGCCTACAAAAATCATCTCACGTTTTAAACAAAGAATTTCAAAGGCACAGCTTTAGCACAGTGTATAAGTTGATAACCTATTCTAAGCAAGTCTAATATTTTAGCTTGACACCTTTCAGAAAATGCCAGGAAGTTGGTAAATACATGATCGATGTTGGAAATTTATAACTTGATTAGACACAGCACAGTTTAGGGCAATGAACTTGCGTAACCAGATCTGGGTTAAACATTTTCTTAAAAAAAAAATCATTAGGTTGATAAATGTGCATCGGAGGAAAACAACCCTTTTCCTTTTACTGTAAAAGACCTCCTACCATTAAAATATGACTGCAGGATACACTTCAAAATATGACAAACATTTCACCTACACTGTAAAATGACTTTACATGTAAACTTCAGAAATCACATGCTGTACATTAAATTTTTAGATTCAAAAATATCCCTGTTTTCCTAATAATGTAAACAGTAATATTGAGGGTTTCAGTTAAAGGCAAATTCATAACAAAATACCACTGTTTAACTGGAAAATTGAGAGTTCTAAATGCTTGGCTCACCTTCCCACCATGGGAGATGTAGATGCCATTGCCCAAAACTGCACTTTTCAGGTAAGCTTTATTTTTATTTTGTAGCATTAATTACTATATTGCAACGTAAGAGTGTGTCAGTGAAGAGGCTCCAGGCAAGAAAAGAGAAGTAAGCAGTGTTCCTGGGCATATTTACTGAGGTGAAAATGTACAGAGAGAGACACTAGGGGCATCAGCTTCCTGCTGGAGGAGGGGCATTTGTCCCCAGACACCGTGAGTCCCGACACCTGAACCAGGATGCGCGGGAGATGCCAGCCGCCTCCGTCCAGCGCCCGGGGTGCAACTATTAAGGAGTGTCAGCGTGCGTGGTAGAAGTATAACATCTGCAGTAAGTTTTTTTTCCTTTTAATCACCATCATTATTATTATCGTCATCATCATTATCTACATTATTATTACGATTACTGTCTCACATCTTTCAACTCCAAAAAATAAACTGATCCACAGTTTATCGTGTGGTGCCAACCTGGTTGGTCTGACATGCATTGCCTTCTCCCCTCCCCCCTGCATGTGCTCACTCATTCATTCATTCGTCCACAGCTGGAATCAGGGTTACTGCTCCAAACACACTCTGACCGAAGTCGGTTTCCATCAACCAATCCATCAATTTTTAAGATGCTCACGTGTGCGTGCGCACGCACGCCCCCCCGCTCCCCCACATACACACCCAAGTCAGAAATAGCTAGAGTGATGCTGGGAAATATCAGGTAGCTGTTAAAGCAAGTAGTCCCCAAATCAGTCATCTTGGCCTGAAGATGTAAACGAGGAGGTGTGCTTCACTGAGTTTGGTTTTCATTTTTCCTGTGCCGAAGCCACCTCTGTCCTTCCCACGCTCACATCTGTCTTCGGCCATGCAGGACGTTACGTCAAGATGTGGCCAATGAAGTCCAAAAAGCGCTTGGAATACTGTTCTGGGTTCACGGTGGAGATCTCCGCACCAGCCTGGGCAGCGTGAGAGGAGAGGAACAGTGACAGAATTACTATCAGTACCTGCAGGAACTTCCACTGCAGCTGAATATGAAGCCAGTCATTTTCAAACCTGTGCAGCCTCTACTCGTAACTCAGAATATCTTGGATATTGGTCTGAATAGCCAAGGCTCTTAGGAATCTGTGTGTGAAAACGAGGCAGAGTCGTAGGACCAACAGATGCCACTGACACACACACTGTGACTGCTGCCACTAAAAAAAAAAATCCAACCAACCACGTTTGAGATGCTCCCGTCAAATGTGGAATCTGCATGGCCTACATTCAGAAGCCACGGGGAGGATGCTTCTGTTTCTCAAGAGAGCAGATTGGAGATTCCTTGAGAATGACACAAACAGCAACGTTTGGCTAAAAGGAAACTCCGATGGCAAGGACACAAGGACTGTGTTCATTTTTCAGGACCGAGGTAAGCGGCTGGGTGCTCAGAAATGAGGGGCGACAGCCACAGCAGCAGGGGCGGTGTCAGCTGCCGGGGCTCTTTCCTGGCCCTGTAAGCAGGCAAGACACAGCGCTGTGACTGCGTCTCCCCCAGAGGGGCACGGGCACAGGGGTGCCATCATCCCCGTTCACAGAGACCTGCTTGGAGCTGGGAAGCCAGCCCCTCGCAGAGGCTCAGTGGGGGGTTTCCTATGACAAGAGCATAGTAGGGCCAGCAGACCCCCACAGTTACCAGCCAGCCTCCTGATCTGCAATGGGCAGGACCAGAGTTTTACCAAGTCACCAGATGCTGTTTTTACACACGCAGCTCACACCTGGAATTTCCATACCTGGCCTGGGCCCCTGGGATCTCCACGGAGGAGCCCCAGTTTTGAAGGCAGAGAATGGTTCCCAGCAGCAGCTCGACACAAACTGCACCCAACTTTAGGCCGTGTGCCGTATCATGGAGCTGAGCTGGTGACTTACAGGGGAGATGCAAATGAAGCCGTGTTTGCTATGGCACGTTTCCAGTTTCACGTGATCTAGAATATCATAGCAGGTTTGAGGAGGGATGGGAACAAACACGGAGCATCCCTCCACTGTTCAGTCTATTCACCACAAAAATCTCATCAATAAGGCATTAGGACCCCTTCATCAGCTGGCGGAAGTGAAGTGCCAAAGCGCTTCCTCCAGGTCACACACTGGAAAGGTGAAATAGGATTCTGGCCCAGCTCTGTCCTTGCAATACACCCAGGTTGTTCAACCAGAGATGAGCATCAGAGTTACCGGAGCCTCTTAGAGGACCCTCCCCGAGCCTCCTGAGCTGAACTCAGAATCAGGGAAAGGGGTGGTGCATCTGTCAGGCACACAGTTTTCAAATGGTGCTCAGAAGGCCACGGTGCCAACCCCCGTGTGAGAACTGCTGTGTACCCTTCTCTCTGACCGATAGAGGATTCTTAAGACGTTTGGTGGGCTGGGTAGGTCGTGGTCCGTGCACTGCACACAGCGGGCACACCGGAAATAGTTGACGGTGTGACTGAAATATTTCTGTGGCAAATGGGGTATGGTGTTAGGCTGGTTCCATTGCTGACACGACAGCCTGTTTGACTTTAAAATAGAGAAAAAGAGCCTTTCGTAGAGGTTGATGTTCTGCTGGATGTTGGTCAGCTCCACACTGTGGGGAAGCATCTCTCCTGCCAGTGTGAACGAGCCAGGGCACAAGTTCATCCCTGTGGGATGGGGTCTGTGGCCTTTTTGGCACGCCTGAAAGCCAAAATGGATCCCTGCGATGCAAGCACAGTAGAGACTCACAACTTGTGAAGTCCAGCCGGCCAGGCGGGCCTCACTGGGAGATCGGGGAGCGGGGCTGGGTCCTGAGGAGCAGTCCTCCCTCTACCACTGCCTAGGATGCGATCCTGGCTGGCAAGTAAGCTCTCGCCCTCAGTTTCTTCACCTGTAAGCAGGAGTGCACTGGTTTTCCCTCACAGGCTCGTCCCGGGGACTCAACAAGTTACCATGGGCCGGGACAGTGAAAATTCTGAGCAAGGACAGTAAAGGTGAGGGATTCGTATTACTCAACTTTGATCCTGCACTCAACAAATTTCTGTAGTAGAAAAAATTACAATCTGCTGTGCGGAAAGGAATATAATATTATGTATCTTGGAAGCATCTGAAGCAGAGAATAGTGCTTCAGTTCTGAACATTTCATATTAAAACACTTAGTTGTCATCATTCAGCCCTTTTGTCTTTTGAAACATTTTTCGAACAAAAAAAGAATTTGTGTAATATTCTCACGATGCATGTGTCTGTTAATAACCCCGGTGGGTAAAAGAAGAGCCGCGCCGGGTTTAAGTGACTTGGGAGCGGCGGTCCGAGCGCGTGCTGGCTCTGACTCTGCATCAGAGCGTGACCCCTGCAGGGAACCAGAGCCAGTGAAGGCCTGTGGGCAGCTCAGCGGAAAGGAGCGGACCTGAGTTGGTCCCTGCACGACAGGAAGCAGGGAGCAGAGAGGAAAACCAAACGGAGATACTTACGCCATGTTTAACAGTTTTTGCAGCGTGGGCAGCTTTCTTTTTTGCATCATAATGAGTCAGAATGTCAATAATTGCCATAAAGTACACCTCTTTCCTAGGCGAATCTGTAAAGGGATGAGAGGGATGATTGTGGGACAGGTGATGACAGCACCTGGAAAAGTGCGAGCTGCTGATGGAGGAAGAGGTGAGGGATTCAGTGGGACAGGGGGTCGAAGGGGTCTGAAAACAAAGGCAATAGAGGCTTTTCAAAAGTCTTGCATATCCCTATGAAACAGCTTAACTTTCTGTCCCCAATTCTCTCTCAATTTGAAAAGTAAAAATATAACCTCAGGATATTACCAGTAGAGGTGCAAGGGTGAGACTCTTTTTGTTAATCTTCATTTACTTTAGTGACTGTGTATTGCTTTGGTATAAAGGAAAATGCTATTTAAAAAATACTCTAAAACAAGTAGAAGTAATTATGCTCCCTAATACTTTCTACCATTATATACTGTTCCTAATGAGCTGTTCACTGATTCTCATTGGATCTAGTATCAGAGCTGGATAAAGGCATATATCACCTCCAGTGCCCATCTTCTGCATATTTCCACAAATATGATGCTGTTGCAATTATGAATAATAAGAAAAAGTACATTTGACTCTATCTAATTTTCTGTGGTGAAGAAACAATTTTGCTGAGCAAAATAAAAAACATTAACAGGCTTCCCTGGTGGCGCAGTGGTTGAGAGTCCGCCTGCCGATGCAGGGGACGCGGGTTCGTGCCCCGGTCCGGGAGGATCCCACATGCCGCGGAGCGGCTGCGCCCGTGAGCCATGGCCGCTGGGCCTGCGCGTCCAGAGCCTGTGCTCTGCAACGGGAGAGGCCACGACAGTGAGAGGCCTGC